CCTCCCGCCTGCCCTCTAATAAACCACTCCCACAATGTTTTTATTTTTTGGGGAATGGGGGAAAAGTTGAAAAGTCACGTTGCTGCCGTTGCTTGCGCCTGCCTGTTTAGTAGTACAGTCACTGCCTCGGAGTCAGAGTGCAGCCGGTAGGGCGGAGGGGGGGGCTGGTAATAAAGGCAAAGGCACCCAAATAATAACGACGGCTGGCCTCACGTGCCTCCCGGCCGAAGGTGGGGGTCGCCGTGTGGGAAAACAAAAAAAGAAAATGCGTTACGAAACGATCTGCTATACTCTCCTTATCTGAGTCGCTCGCCCGCTCTTGCGTAACTCCAGCAGCAATGCGAGCGAGCTCCAGCCTCGCGCCGGCTTGTCGCGGAGCGTCCCGCGGAGGGAGGGGGCCGGTGCGGTGGGCGGCGGCGGCAGCAGCAGCAGCAGCAGGGACGGCACACGCTGGACATCACTCCAGCGGGCTCTCCAGCGGCTTCCCGTGGCAGTGGGCTCCAGTCCTCCAGGAAGAGTGCTGCTCTCCGCCACGCCACGCCAGGCCACGCCACTCGAGCGGCAGGCAGGCAAGTCTCTCCCTCCGCTCCGCCGGACTCAAGGGCGCGCCAAGGTCACTGCGAAGTTCACGCCGTGGTTGAGTATATGTCCTCTGGGGCTTGCGGGCTGTGCAGCAGCGGCCGAGGCGGCCTGGGCGGGGGTGGAAGTGCCTGCCGGTGAGAACAGCCCGGCTCCTCTTACATGTGGCCGCGAAAAGAAAAAAGAAGAAGAAAATGGGATCTTTTTTTCTTGTTGGAGGTCGGCCAGCGTTTCTTTCGCTTAGCCAGCGCAGCCTGTTCCTGGTCCTGCCGGTACGTGGTGGCGGCGGCCTGCAGTGCTGGGTCAGGACTACCGCTATGTACCGAGCAGCAGGAGCCCGCGCGGCGTTCTCGAGCTGCTCTCCTCCTGCCGGGCCACAAACGTGGCGTGTGCCTGGATACCCGACGACGTCTGCCCCATCGATCTGACTCAGACCAGACCTTATCCTGCGTGACGGTCGTTGAGGATGTTTTTCTCCATCTCTCTCTTTTTTCTGGCTCTTGCTCTCGCTGCTGGACTCTGCCAGCCAGTGGGATAGTGAGTAACCTTGAGCCCTCCCCTCCCTCCTCCAATGTTTTGAGAGCTCCGCGCCCGCTCCGCCGCCGGCTCCACTCGGTTTGGCACGCGGCCGCGGTGCCCGGCTGTGCCCGGCTGTGCCGCAGTGCGCGCGCCGGGCTCGCGGGGGCAGCAGAGAAGGCACCGACCTCCCGACGACGACGCTCTCCTCGCGGCCCTCCTCCTCCCCTCCCCGTCGGTCCAGCCGGCGGCCAGCCCAGACGCGCCCGGATTCCTTTCAGCCGCCCGGACGATAACAAGCACATGTCAACAGTGAGCCCTTTCTTTCTTACTTTCCTCCAAGCGAGCGACCTAATTCTCTGCTTTCGTGTCGAGTGTTCCCCCTTGATCCTCTGGTCCTGCCTGTACCTCCTATACTGCACCGGCTGCTAGGACGCGAGGGACATATGCGAGATCCAAATCCAACGCCCGACACGGCTCTCGATCGTCACGATTTTCGGGCAACAGGTGCGCGTCGCATTTGATCCGACCGCGAGGGCCCCGCGGGTCCGGCCCGCACGCCGCGGCACCAGAGCGGCACCAGCTGGGGCGCGTGCCGATAAGCTGCTATCGGGACGCCCGCCGCGACGCCTCTCGAGTGCGCTGACGCCACCCCGCCTTACGTCGCGTGGGACGTCCTGCTGCGCGCGCTTCTCTTCTCCTGACGTCCTCGTCGCCATCCTCTTGGGGCTCCTGTTGTTTCCATTTCTTGAGGTTGTCGTCCTCCTGCTCACGCTGCTGCCGCTCGTGTGAACATGCGATACCCACCCCACCAAAAGCGTACGCGCGTACAGCAGTGCGCACATTTTGAATTCGGGGCCGGAACCAGATTAGAACTGGACTCGGTGATACCAACCTCAGTGCGTGGAGGGGTAGCGACGTTGCACGTCTGTAGGAGAGGGTGCTTAAAATCCTGACTGGTGCTCGTTCTAAAACCCGCAGTGTATGGGGACAGGGTAGCTTCTTTGAGCTTTGGATGGAATCGGTTATCTGTTTTCGTCCAGTTTTCAATGGTTACGTTGCTGACATAGTTCATTTTGATCTTCGCGCGGCCGTTCCGCCGGCCAAGCGAACGGAACGCGAACGCGAGCTGCACAAGCTGAAACTTGTCCGCAGACATTTGCGAAGTGCAAAGCGTGCCGGTGATGAAATGAGCCAGTATTGAAAGGTTTTGCCGTCTGCATGTTGTTTGCAAATTCGACACGCTCTAAGTACTTTACTTGTCATGACATCTTTTCTAAGCTAGGAGTCTGACGAAGTTCTCACTTCTCGCTGGTACTGTTTTGTTGTCTCGTCTCTCGTTTTATACAGCCAGGTATA